CGATTTTACAGGAAGACGAGGCCCGATTTTTGTCTTTCTGCAGCCGATTAATTGACGCAGTCCACGCAACATCCTCCCCCGTTTCGGGTGAAAACGGAACAAGCTTTCGTTCGCTATATATGACGAATATCATCAGAGCTGGGACTTGTCGTTGCGAAAATCTCAAATTGACACAAATCCAAAGAGACTGTCTGGCTATATCCCACATGTTATATGTACTCATTGATAAAAGAAGGAAATGCACATTCCATTTCATTTCTCGAGTGAATTTGTGGGCGATCTGGTCATCGAGTATACCAAGCTTCACATAGTACCTGTCTCAGTTAATAAAGTGTTATTTCTTCTCTCGTGGCGGCCTGAATACTCCGTTTTCATGTCATCACACACACTCACATATACACTCAGATAAAATTACCATGACTACTATCAAAGAGATTTAATCAAACAATTGTATAGCCATCTATCTATTTCTATATAAATATGTGAGTATATATGGAATTTCAGAAAGAGTTGGTGAGGCTACTTTACTGAGGCTAACTTGAGACTTGCAAATGTGAGTCCTTGATGTTAGTCAATTAAGGGACGAGGGCTCAACCCTTTTTCACACAAAATGAAGGAGGATACCTCGGGGAGTGCGTCGATTTGAACATTGTATTAAAGCAAAAACGACTGCAGTACAACGAAAGTCAGCCGCCATATTCCGGCTTCTTCTTGCGCTTTCATACGCAATGAAAGTCTCCACATAAAGCTTCTCTATTTTTAGCACAGACTCAAGCATTCTCGTGGCATTTTTCACATACAACAATGCAAATTCACTTGCTCCAATTTGCCCACAACTCAGCCTGTACGTGTACACATCTTGTTCCATTCTCTTGCGGATTTGCTCTTGCATCCGAATGAACCGATTTGTGTGTCTGTCTGTCTGCACGAATGAACAGGTATGTGTGTCTTTCTTTATTTGTCGGACTATTTGTCAGTGTGTAGTGGAGGGGGTGGAGTGCTCGGAATACCTGATTTGCAGACTAATAGGCTCTTCATAGTTGGGAGTTTGCTTGTGATTTGCAAGTGTCTCCAGTGAAGTGTGAAAAGGGCTAATTCCTGGCAGAAGACGGTTATCCTTGCAGACGAGAACTCCCTGGAGTCAAAGTCGCAACTCCTTTTGCTGTCGCGGCAAAGGCTTTTGATGCAATGCCTTTGACTTGTGAAGCTGCAATTATCTTCTGTTTGATTTGCCATTTCACTTTGACGGCGCATCTCTCCTGCCCATGCCGCACGTAGACAGTGATTAGGCGCCTGGTTGTGGGAAGTTGGAGAGGCCTTTGGCCTATCACACCTTACAGAGTGGTACGGGGACGGGCTATGATATGTCGCCGGCCGACTGTATGGCTCGTGGTCGCTGAGGCAGATGATCGGCGAGAACGAGCCTGATGATACCGGCTAGAAAGGGGTACAGTGCGATTGGAATGTTGGTCAGATGTGGATTGGGCGACTTCGGGGGCGGTAGAACAACGCCCAGCGCCCAGTGACGACGTCGTCGTCGCCCGTGGGCACAAAGACGTCTGGCTATCGAGTGAAGACGAGCTGGGCTGCGAAGACCCTAATAACTATACGAAGAAAAGTTGGGTTTTAAAGGAATCTCTTGTTTCATAATTGTTGAGCTTACCTCCATTTCGAGTGGAAGTGTTGGGCGAAGAGATTCGAAAATCGGTTCCACCAGAAGACGACGGCCTTCTTGACTTGTTAGCTTGAATTTTG